TTTCCAGGTTTCCTCAAGTGGCACCTGGCAGTGTAGCAGAGCATTGGAAGCCACCGGGCAAGCTTCCGATGCTCTGCCTGTGTGCTAAGTGCCTTGAGGCACTCAGTGAAGACTTAAATATAATCAATAAAAAAAAAAAAAAAAAAAAAAAAAAATTCTGACTTCCGGTCGGACGGAGCGGTCGCCGCAGCTCCGTGATCGGCACGGCCTAAAAGCGGCAGAAAAGCGGCGAAAGAGCCCGGAACGACCCTACCAGGGTGCCCAACAACAGGGGAACCTCCTACCTCAAGGATGGCACCCCCGAAGTCCCAAAGGGCATCGGATTTCTTCCGGCAGGGTAAGGGAGGGAAGCAGCGCATGGAGCAAGATGGCGGCGGCTCCCGCTCACCCACTCACACCTCAGACGCAGGATCAGACTCAGATATGAGGCAAGCAACCGCTGAAGATCTGTCTGTGTCGGAAAAGCGCCTGGCGGCAATGCTGCAGGACCTACGCATCTCTATGAAGACTGACTTCCAAGCTGCGGTCTCTGAAATGCGCAAAGACATCCATGAAGTGGGGACACGCGTTAATGCACTAGAAGAAAAGACTGACGAGCTCTGCCACATGAATGACACCATGGTAGAGAAAATACAAAGAATGGACGCTGATAACAAACGCCTTATGGAAAAACTGGCGGATTTGGAGGATCGCTCCCGCCGCAATAATATCCGCGTGCGCGGGGTACCAGAAACAGTGACACAAGAAGAGCTGCCGGCCTACCTACTGCGACTCTTCCAAGCGATCCAACCAAACCTAGAACTGGCGGACCTCCGCCTGTACCGGGCGCACCGAGTGCCAAAACCTCAAAACCTTGCACAAGAAGTGCCAAGAGACATCGTGACCAGACTGCACTACTACTCTGCGAAAGAAGCCATACTCACGGCGCAAAGGAAGGCCTCAGCGATGCCGCCAACCTATGAAAATATCTCCCTATTCGCTGACCTCTCACCGACGACAATGGCCAGAAGAAGGGAATTCATTAACACTACGAAATGCCTCAGAAACAACAAAATACCGTACAGGTGGGGATTTCCTACAAAACTCCTTCTCTGGCGGAACGGCTCCCTAATAAAGATCGAAGATCCGGCGCTGGGGATGGAAAAGCTCAAGACCTGGGGCTTGTTCCCAGACGGCAAAGCACCACACACCCAAACCTCCCTAAAGAAGATGACCGCGGACTGGTCCAAAGCCTAAAGAACACTACCGCCACCCAGAAGGGGGTGCCGGCTACAGCACGACTCGGTTAGAGACCCGTGTGACCCCCCCCCATGGTGACCACCCCACTCATCTGGGAATGGCATAGCTTGAAGGACATTCAGCACCCACGTGAGTACTCTTGATCGCCCTCACCCACCCCCCACCTCCCCCCTAACCCAACACAAGAGGAAAAATGACTGCCACACCACAGCGCAATTTGGCCCACCCTGTCACTGCGAGACTTACCCCTAAGCAGTCAGACTCGCTGCTCAGACCCTTGCAGAGACTGCCCACTAAAATCTGAACCCAGCATGGCCGGACAAAGGCCGAAAAACTGAAGGGCGCAGAGACTGTGCTCACCTCTCACCCCCCCCACTCACGGATCTATACAGGACAGCCAACGGCTCAGCCAAGCCCCCATATCTCCCCCCCCACCGCCTACTTTTTCGAGAGAGCCGGGCTCTGAAAGAGGTACAGGCCTCACCAAATATCAGACGCCCCCCCGATACACCTGCGGGACACCGCCTGCCGTTGCGACCCCCTCTCAGTGCAGTAGAGGGTGCGAGCTCGGCAGCAGGGTCCCTCACATAATGCTTAATAGCTGTTTGAAATGTATATACTTTATTTCTGTTTTATGGTTTTGTCTCTTAGGTTATGTTCCAGGTTGTTCCCCCTGCCCTAACCCCCTTCCCGAGATGCTCCCCCTTCACTACTGGGTACGACGAGGGGAAAAAATAGCCGCACCCAACCACCTCTGTCATGTAGTGGCAAGGGAAAACACTACACCCAAACTACCGGGCCCTAGGGCCACCCCAACTAGTTAAAATGACCTCCGCCAATAAATTCCGCCTGGTGTCTCTAAATGCCCATGGGCTGAACACACCACAAAAACGCAGGCTGGCGTTCTCCCAATTACGCACTCTACACGCCTCTGTAGCATGCATACAGGAAACTCACTTCTCAATTAAAAACCCACCAAAATTCTCGTCCACATCCTATCCACAAGCTTACCATGCCACGGCACCGAATAAGACACGAGGTGTTAGCATTCTCTTCCACTCTGATTGGCAATTTAAATGTGAAGTAGAATACAAAAGCCCCGATGGCCGGCTTCTAATACTAGTAGGACTCTTAAATGACGTCCAGGTGACAGTAGTCAACCTCTACGCCCCCAACACCAACCAGTATGACTTCCTTAGGAAAGCTTTACAACAAGTAGACAAGAAGAAGAAAGGAAAGACGCTTATATGTGGAGACTTTAACTGCGTACTGGACCCAGCTCTAGATAGGACCGGCAAACCCTGTTCCCACTTGCGATCAACACAGCTAGGGTTAAAAGTGACAGCACTCCTCAACTCACACGGCCTACACGATACATGGCGTTCGCTATACCCAGCATCTAAAGACTACACGTTCTACTCCAAGGTACATGATAGATACTCCCGGATAGACATGTGTTTAGTGGATGTGAAAACGCTAGATACCCTGGAGGAGGTATCGATTGCCCCCTTGACTTGGTCAGACCATGCCCCCCTCACTTCAGTCTTTACCACGCTCCACCCGGTCCGGGGTCGGGGACAGTGGAGACTAAACGAATCACTGATAGACAATGTGGACAGGGCGGCCGAGATAAGGAGTGCCTTGGCGCACTACTTTGTAGATAACCACTACACCGACACGAATGTCGCAATGACATGGCTTGCCCGTAAGGCAGTAATGCGCGGTCTGCTAATACGACATGGGGCAAAACTGAAGCGCCAACTGACAGAAAAAAGTAAGACCCTACTGACCGACTTAAAACAAGCAGAAACACGACACAAGACCTCCCCCACACACTCCAACAGGCAGGAGGTACAGAAGTTAAGGGCCACTATAGAAGCACTACAGATGCAGCAAGTGGAACGGGCAATTTGCAAAATGAAAACCAACTACTATAGACAGGGTAACAGAGCGGGCAAAATATTAGCCTCCCAACTCAGGGAACGCACCTCGCAGGTAAAGATCCCATATATTAAGGACGACACGGGCACCAAGATTAGAAACCCCAAAGCGATAGTAGACAAGTTTGCCCAATTTTACGCAGGGCTATATAACCTGTCTGGAGACACCAACCAACACCAACCCAGTCCCCAAAATATTACTTCCTTCCTAGACGGAGTGACTCTCCCTCGACTTTCCAACGAACAGGCGGCTGCACTGACCAACCCAATTGCAGCATCTGAAGTATCAAAGGCTCTACACGATACGCCCAGACACAAAGCCCCAGGCCCAGACGGCTTCTCAACCCACTACTACAGGGTTTTTGAGGACCAGCTACTCCCCCATCTCACGGCCCTATTCAACCACATTCTAGAGTCGGGGGAGATACCCCCAGAAATGTTGGAAGCCACCATTATTACGCTCCCTAAACCAGGCAAAACTACTGATACATGCGCACACTACCGCCCAATCTCACTCCTCAACGCTGACACAAAATTGTTCGCCAAGACCCTTGCAAACAGAATACGCCCTACACTAGCTCAATTAGTATCCCCAGAACAATCAGGGTTTGTCCCGGGGCGACAAGTAGAAGATAACACCAGACGAGCCCTTGACGTAATGGAACTCATGATTAGAGATCGGTCACAGGGCTTAATAATGGCCTTAGACGCAGAAAAGGCCTTTGACAGACTCCACTGGGGTTACATGACAGAGGTCCTGCGTAGGTTCAACTTCCCGACAAAATTCCTAGCTGGGCTCTTATCCCTCTACTCATTCCCCCAAGCCACAGTCATGAACTCTGGTTTCATTTCCAGCAGATTCGCCCTATCGAACGGCACAAGACAGGGATGCCCCCTATCGCCCCTCATTTTTATCCTGGCACTGGAGCCCCTGCTCCATAAAATCAGGACTAACCCCTGCATCCTAGGCGCCCCCTCCCCGACAGGCCCGCAAAAAATGGCAGTGTTCGCTGACGACATCCTTCTCTTCCTAACAAACCCTCCGGACTCCCGACCCGCCCTCCTGGACCTACTACGGGACTACGGCCAGGTCTCGTACTACAAAAATAATGTAGCGAAAACACAGGTACTCCCGCTTAATATGCCCAGTTCCCAACTCACGACCCTACGAACGTTATACCCCTTTGAATGGAGGAAGGATACCATTTCCTATCTAGGCACACAACTAGCACCCTCCAAACAGCTCCTCATAAAACATAACCACGGGCGACTCACAGCAAAAATAGAGCAGGTGCTGGAGGGCTGGGGAAGCAAAAACGGACACACATCCTGGTTGGGGCGCATAAACGCCGTGAAAATGATTATACTACCGCAAGTATTATTTCTATTCAGGGCCCTACCCATCAGTTTACCAAACTACACCCTCCGAGCATTTCAGCGACTCATCAACGCACACATATGGAGGAAAAAACCACCCAGAGTCTCACTAGCAAATATTAGCACAGCCATGGGGGGAGGCGGGGTGGGTGTGCCACACATAACCAAATACTACCTAGCAACAAACATATCTCAGACGGCGCGCCTCCTCTCCACCTCGAATTGCCCACTGTGGCACCAACTGGAAAGTGCTGTCTGTGCGCCTTACTCCCTTAGGGACTCACGAACCCTCTCACAACAACCAAGCTGTTCCTGCAGCTATGGCTGAGATGGGCCCCAAAAATGCTTAGTGTAAAGATAGAGACCCTTGCCCCACTGACAAGTCTCCAGCACCACACACATGACCTGGATCTGGGCGAGTGGGTGGACAGGGGGCTGACGCAGATAACTCACCTCTATGGAGCAAATGGGCTCCTAGCGTTCCCGGACCTCCAAAGCCAATACCACCTACCAAACAGCGAAATATTCACATATTTACGCATAAAACATATCTTAGGGGCCACCGGCAAGGAAAGGACACCAACACAACCCCAAAACCACTTTGACTTGCTATGCCAAGGTCAAAAAACCCCCAAAAAACCACTCTCCCTGTGTTACCATAGGTTGCTAGACATAGATAGACCGGCCAAACAATCATACATGCTCAAATGGGAAAAAGAATTGAACTGTGAACTCGAGAATGGGAAGTGGATAGGGACCATGACACTGGTTAAACGGGCGACAAAGTGCTTGGACCATGTAGAAGCAGCCTACAAGATGTGGATGCAGTGGTACTACATGCCACACAGGTTGGCCCAAATATACCCAGGGGTGCAGTATAGATGTTGGCGTTGCAGCCAACAAGGGGGAAACACGAGCCACATATTCTGGTACTGCCCGGCACTCAGCCAATACTGGCAACACATCCAAGACATAATTAAATCCAAACTAGGAAAACAATTACCACTCAAACCCGAACACTATCTGCTCCACATGCTACCCCGAGACTTTACAGCCTATGAAGCAGTGCTGACTACCCACATCACCTTAGCAGCTAAAACGTGCATAGCCGCCTTGTGGAAAACAACGACAGTACCTGACATAAAAACAGTACTCGCCAAAATAAGCCTCACCCAACAGTACGAGCAGATGGCACATACAATAGGTGGCACATTAGAACACTACAACAGGACATGGTCCAAGTGGTGATGCCTGGGTGAAGGACGAATTACGCCCCATCTAGCTGACAAACTATGCCCCACCTAGCCTCCAAGCACGAGAGCATCTCTCCCCCCCCCCGTACTACACCCTTATCCCAGTTCACCCCCCCCCATACACAAAATAAGGGCTTACGTTGCCCTATCGAGCCTTAAAATATGAGATGATGAGCAGGTGAATTAGTTCCCAGTCTACAAGACACGACACTACACAAATAAACAAGCAACACGCAAAGGTGATACAAACCCGGTTGCTAACCATCGGGCCCACCCCAAAGAAGAGTGGAGGATACAGGTGGGAGGCTGACCACCGGAGGCCAGGGAGAAGCCACTTAGAGGCATGATAACACACACCAGAAAGCATGCCCAGTCTACCGGGTACTAAAATCAGGGCACTACTCACCACCTGTAACAAAAGCATGATTGTTGCTTGAAACAACACTCTGTACCATCACTACGAGGATGTATTGTAAAATGCCATTGTACAATGTTATCACTATATACTCTCTGTTATGCAATATGTATGAAACGTAAAATGTAGGTTAAAGTGTCAATCCGAAACCTTTTCATCTCAATAAAAATGAAACATTTATAAAAAAAAAAAAAAAAAAGGGTTTCCAGGAGAACTGAGATTTTCGTTATTTATTTTTTTCAATTTGCCATTCAATTTTTGTTTTGGTTACGTTTACTGTTCCGGAGTTTGTTTTTTTACTTTTACTGCGCTAGACTATTTTTATGAACAAGTTCAACCTATGCGTGGGGGGCATGAGTGTACTCAGGAGGCCTTGCAGAAACCAAACTGGAGTGTTTTCTTGCAATAACCAACAATAGACTCCACTAAATTACACACAAATGTGTGTGTTAAAATGAAAATTTAAAAATTACCACCACACAATCACTCAAATATTTGGGGCTAAAACAGTTCTATCAAATGCATCAAAACACTCCATAAACAATACCTTGGGGTGTCAAATTTCAAATATGTGCACGTCCATGGCAAGAAAATAAATTGTGAAATGTAAAAAGGCCCCCAAAAAGAAGATATGTCAAATTTGAAAAACACACGTCAGAAGTTTGGCATTGCACCCCCCAAACAACCCAACAAACCTATGCATAGGTGGTATCACTGTACTCAGGAGATGTTGCTGAACACATATTGGAGTGTTCTTTGTCAGTAACATATAACAGGAACTGAGAATCCATGCCTAAAGTACAATGTGAGAGAAAAATAACAAAAAAATGACTACCCAAAAGTTTGCCAAAGACTGGTTGTATAATTAGTGCATGGAAAGTTTGAAAATACCACCATTTGAAATATCCTAGGGTGTCTACTTTTCAAAGATATATTGTTTGATGGGGGGTAAATTACATTGGCCGGCTTAAAAAATGTCCCAAATAGGACATGGGTGCATGATGACCAGCTGTGAAAATTCCAAGTTGGAAAACTGTAATGCGCACCCTTCAAATAAGATCTTTTAGCCCCCAGAGAACCCGACACACCTATGCATGGATGGTATCACTGTACTCAGGAGATGTTGCTAAACACATATTGG